AATAACTCCAAAGCATTGGCTTATAAAAAATTTTAAGTGGATAACAAGCCAAACCTCTTCAGGATCCCTGCATGGAAATTCTTGTGAGTTTGTTTCCCATAAATAGAGGGCCAAAGGATGTTAAAAAGATAAAGATGCATGCCATTCATCTTGTTTCAGTAGATCATAAGTTCCTCAAGGGCAGGAAAAGGTTATTTGCTGATTGATTTAATATTTATTGAGTCCTAATTTTCTTCATGGACCATAGAATTAAATCTATCGATGTATTTGATTATGAGAAAAATATATTGCTCCCTTTAGAAAGGACGCAGTAGCATTCCCTTTGATGCCTCCTTTCCTTTATACTGATTAACAACTTGAAAGAGCAGTTCTTGTTCTAAAAACAAAATATGAGTAGAAAAATACTTCATTCTATTCCATAAAACCGGAATGAAAGATTCTCCCTCTCTGAAATAACAAGGTGTTTAGAAATGAAGGAGCTGCAGGGGAAGGAGGCAGGGGGACCATCATCCCTGCAAACATTTCACTTTCAAAGTACACAATATCAAAAATCATATGTAATTACAAGGTTTCATACTTACTATTCTCAAAACGTGGTTTCAGCCAGAATGGAAGTGCTGCATAAGGAAACCTAAAAGGAAAAATTTTAAAAACAAACCAAAAAAAGCTAACAAATTTCTAACAGAGTTACTACTCTCAAGACCAGCAAATATGTGCCTATAAATAAATGCATTACTCGTGCCCACCAGCATATCACCTACAAGTGCTACACTTAGGCTGGGCGGCGGGGGCAGGGGCAGGGGGAGTGGGGAATGACACAGGAGAAAGGGTGGCTGCAGTTTTACCCATGTGAACAGCACTCAGACCATCGCTGACACGTGCAGCATGTCAGAGCTCTGGATTGAGATCATTACAAGCCCAACTTTGGCAGCTCGTTATCAATTCAGTGTGGGTGCTGTTTTGTAAACACATTTAATTTGGTTTTAAATTTTAATCCATAAAGTCATTACTAAAGGACTCCAGGCTGCTGAAATGATGAACCAACTGCTACTAAAGCTGACACGAAGGCACCAGAGCCAGGGATGGGGCTTTCTGTCCTCAACGGCCTTCTTTGCTTCCCTTACTCCTCTCACGTCCCTGATTTCCTTCTCACCAGTGAACTGACTCTCTCATGCATGGTCCCTGATCACATGGAAGATTTTTCTGTTCCTACCGGCTGTATGTGCATATGTGTGTCTCTGTGTTGTGTCTGTGTGTTTATGTGTCTGTCTCCTTCTCTCTCTCTCTCTCTCTCACACACACACACACACACACACAAGCACACACAATGAAACTCATTGCCTTTTTGTGAGCCAATATTCCAATGACTGCCTCCTCTACCTTTCTGATTTAAGCTACTTCTATACATAAGCATTACTCTTTAACAAAAAGATCAGGCACTGGGTGAGTTTGGAGGAATGAAATTGTCTTAAAGAGCTGATGGCAAGGAGTACAGCTGACTGACAGATGGACTGACCAACTGACGGGGCCGGCAGCATCTTATCTATTGCCCTCCTTGGAGAATTGCTTCTCATGGATAATTAACCATAAAATGAGAGGTTTTCTTCAAAGGAGAGATCAAAAGATGAATCTTTCAAAACATACCATATTATAAAATTTGGTTTATTTAAGAATGTATCAGCTCTGGTTCTAAAGGATTTGTTTTAGTTCAGCTTTTATTTTAGATATGGGGGTACAGGTATGGGTTTGTTACATGGGTATATTGCACCCAGGTAGTGAGCATAGTACCCAGTACGTGGTTTTTCAACCCACACCTGCTTCCATTCCTCCCTTCCCCCTCTAGTAGCCCGCAGTGCCTGTTGTTCCCATGTTTATGTCCATGTGTCTCCATGTTTAGTTCCCACTTATCTATGAGAACATGCAGTATTTAGTTTTCTGTTCCTGCTTTAATTTGCTTAGGATGATGGCCTGCAGCTCCGTAACCACCAGTTTACTCCACATAACAACCCTGTGAGGATGGTGTCATCTTTGTCCTCCTCTTCCCAGGAGGCTGGAGGACAGAGAGGTCAAGTAACGTGCCCAAAATCTCACAACTGGAAAGTGACTATCAGGATGTCCACCCAAATAGTCCAGCTCGAGAGTCCATGCTTCTAGCTACCACACTCTGCAGTTTCTGACTTGATGGATTGCATCTTTGTCTAATAAAGAGGAAAATTTACATTTATTTTTATATGCATTTTATCCACTATTAAAGCCAAGTTTTCTCTATCAGGGAAAACAGATGAAACATTTACCCTACTGGGTAAATCAGTTACTATCCTATTTACCCTCTTGGGTGTTTATCCTATTTTATTTGCCCCATCGTGTAAATCAAATATTGTTCACCACTTGTGTTTATGGCCCTACCATTAACATTAACAATACGTGTGTTGACAAGAAATATTCTAGACCAACTTCTTATGCTCCCTTCAATCCATTCCCTTTGCTAGTCCATAGACATAATCACCTCCCACTCCCATTCCAAAAAGCAGCTTCTTACAGAACCATTCTCAAGCACTCTCCCCTACTGCTCAGTGAGGTTTAATATAGCATCCCAGAGCAGCCAAGCTTACACAGCCCTTGGGCACCTAACACAGAGGCCCAGGAAGCTTGCCTAGAAAAGAACTAGTGTTGATCAAGAAAGTCTCCATGTGCTGTGCTGTTCTGTGATAATCTGTCTGTCTTCCTTTGATCTAAAGTTAAAGTGGGCAACATAAACCCTGGACAATGTGGGAAAGCCAAAAGAGTGATTCCATTCTTTTTCTGTGGTAATAATAATAACATTTTCTCTTCTGCAGGGCCAGTGTTTTTACTGAAGTTTCTTCCAAAGAATGCTGTGCTTTAGGATTTTAAAACCCAAAGGCCCCAGGATATTTTCCTCTTTCAAAAATGGATGGTTCTGCTTTTCATTTAAGGTGCAGTTTAGAGAGAAGCAGCCTGTGAAACCAATTAACTAATTGGAAATCACTTAATGACTGTAGCAGCATTTTGGATTTCCGGCGTTGGTTCACAGCAGTCAAGAGAAATTGCTTTCCAATATTATGATAAGGTAAGCTGTGGAGGTCTCACAGGGGGCGGTTGAAGGCTGCTGAGAGAAACAATCAGCTCTAATATGCCCACCAAAATAATGGAGACATTATAGCATGGAACTCAGTGATTGTAAAGTAAGCACAACATAAAAATCCAAAGATATGTGGAGATCTGCTGAGAATAAATGTGCAGCCATAGTTCCTTGCTATGATTTTTTGAGAGATTACAATCTTCACATAGACATTATGCTGTGGAAATTGCTCTTACAGAGAGAGCCAGGCATGTGTGGGAAAAGTGACATGAGGAGAAGGAAAAAATAATAGAGTAAATGCTTACCCTGCCACAATTGTTCAATTAATTGTTTAGTATGAATATAGTCATTGTTCACATTAGGGAAATAATCTAGTTAATTGCTCTAGTTAACATAGGCAGAGAACATAAATTACCCCAAACCAAATATTTTATCCATTTGCCGTTGGTTTGTCTTCAGGTAATGAATTCTCTTAGCCTATTTCTAAATATCATAATTCATTAAACCAAAAACATCAGTGTAGAAAATAATATCAGCAATCTCCAATACATCTCATTCCTTTTTTACCTTATTTTAAAAGAGAGGCACAGGGATATGCATGGGCAAAGGCAGTTTAAACTTGCTTTGAGGTAGTCAGGTGGTCCTTATTTCTCCCGGGCCTCAGAATTATTTTGTAAGTATGGCAATCTTTCCCCGACCCCCTTTGCCTTAGTTTACTCAGTTTTAAAATGGATTGACACATGTTAGAAGACACAGGTGTTCCAATGATGGTGACATGTTACAAACAGGAAGCTAGAACACTGTAAATTCTTCCAGCAATTACAAACTTTCATTTTTTCTTCCCCATTGGTACAGTAAGTTTGGGCAACAAAGAGTCTCTCTGAGAGATACTTGCTGTTGTTTTCCAACAGGAAAGAAATTCTGTACACCCGCTTGTCACTCTACTGCCTGCATTTGGGCCTTATCTAGTCCCCAGCTTTATTAATTCAGTAATGATGAGCAATGTATTAGATGCCTCCACTGGGTACTGCCTTAGATGCTTGCTTTGTATTCAGCCACTCCCCAAAGGACAGGAGGACAGAAGGTGTTCTCTTTTCAGGCAGCAGCATAAATAAAGACCAGTGTCACTTATACAAATCACTGTACCAAGAATTAGCCCACCAGACTATGGGACTACATTAGCCCTTTCTTCTCACCTGCCTCATATAGTAGGTGCTCATTCAAAGCAGGACTCACGTTGTAGAGCTACATGCCTGGAAGTCCTTCATACAAGAAAACACCTGAAAACACCCAGGGTGAGGTGGGCAACACTAGTACTCTAACACACTGATGATTCTTCCTTTAGAAACAATGTTTCATCCTGAGCACATTGTTACCTGTTTCAATTATTACCTTTCCTAGGACTTAATTTCTCATCTGCATTCCAGAAAGTGACATCCTACTAACATCCGGATTATATCAAGACAACAGGGCTGATAAACTGATTTTTCATTACCAGTAAAGATGGTCAATAAGTAAAACAGAACATTGACTAATGATACAGCGGAGGAGCAACCACATCCAGAATGTGCCAGCAGTGAGCTGGACTACCATGAAATAACAAGGAAACATTCCACTCTTCTTAATAAAAGGAAAACCTCCAACCTATCAAAGGAGAAAAATCCTGCAAATTAACCTTTCAGACTGATTCAGAACATTTTCCAGGATGATGTACCTGAAGAAAAACATGTGATTCAACTGATAGCGTTTGTCACATCGCAGACTGATCCAAAGGTGAGGCTATACCTACGAAGACAGGCTGAATGCCAACTCGTGTAACCTCATTTGCAAAGCTCGGCACTCTGGAGCTTAAATGTCCCTGCTTAACAAATGGGGAGCAATTTAGACTGTTGTATAAAGACAAGACCAAGGCCAAAGTCTAACAATAGCTCACCTCTCGCCAAGTCCTTGAATTAGTAAATGTTATTACAAAAAGAAAATATACTTTTATCTAGGTTGTTATTTTTTCCCTCTGCTGTCCTCTGTGGCTTTGCCTATAAGCTCACAGTTTTTAGTTAAATTGGACAATTACTGAGTGAGAAGTGCATAATTAATGAACAGTCACCGTACATGTTTGGGAAACTGTGACCCAATCACTGAACAGATAACTGAACCACTAAAATAAATGACTTGTTCCACTCATTACCTGATCAGCATTTGTTTAGAAGTTCCTTGGTGCCCTATCAAAATTCTAATCAGTTCTATTTAAATTACATTTTTTGCACTGCATTGTTATAAATGCTAATTTATGCCTAGAATGGAACAGCTTTATTTCTTACCTCCTGAAGAAACGGATGAATAAAAACATACTTCTACAGGGCATAAAAGATTATCAAGGGTTCAATGACTATTGGATTTTGCACTTGCCAAGACACATCCTGAGACTTCGAGCTAAGCTTTAGGGGACAACAAGGACATTCCAAGCCTCCCATAGCAAAGCCATCCCCAAGAAGAGTCTGAGGACTGTCACAGCAGCATCTGCAACCACCACAAGGATTTGCTGCCTTTGGGGACTGGACAGTCTTTGGAGTGGTGAAGGGAAAGAAGGGAAAATTCTTACAACTTGAGAATAATGATCCAAAGAATCTTAAAGGCAGATGGTTATTTCAGAATCTCTAGGCAACTTTTGTGCACGGAGAGGGATTTCTCTGAGCCTGGTAGCCCATCTGCTTTTGCGATGGTGTCCATGTCCACCAGCTTGTAGGCGGTGGCGGATCTCACATGGTAACTCCATATATTTTTCACAATTAGTTTGGTCTCCAAACTTAGCACCAAGATGTCATTCTAAGCAACTCCGGCAGTTCCACCCAAGAGAAGACTAGAGCACAGTTTTGCTCTCTCTGATGTGCAAGGCTTGACCACTTGCAGCCTAGAGCTGGCCCAGACAGACCCTAAGTCATTTGGGATCTAGAGGACCTCAGAAGAGAGAATATTGAGGCTAGTGTTCCAGAAATAGCAAGAAATCTCCTAATGAGGCCACAAAAGTCCTGCCTTTAAAAGTGCTTCATCCACTATGACACTCCCCTCCCATTCCAGGCTCAGTGTCTGTGGAAGTCAGCAAGCCTGCCATTATCCTGCCTGGAGTGGGAGGCATCAAATTCAGAATTCATTGCCAGAAGTTTTTTATAAGCTGAGGAATTACCTTGAGAGGATTGAATTTCCAAGCGCAAGTCAGCAGCTGCTGGGGAGGCTGGGACCACCTCAATCATCCTGTACCCACGAGTCTCTTGCAGAGAGGGGCGAGGCGAGGCTGGATCAGTCTGGCTTAGGGCTGCATGGCCAAGGGGCTAGAAAACACAGGTTCACAAAGGCATTTAACCTCGTTTAAGCAGTGCAATGTGGCTGAGGCTTAAAACAAGGCTGGAACATTTTCTTGCTTATTATTACCTTGATAACCTTTCTTTGTAGCTAGGAAGGAGTGGAATGAGAAAGTGGGGCACAGGGAGACACTGGGAGAGGAGGGGTGGGCCATAGCACTGAACAGGAGGGGAGAAAGCTGCTGTTGTCCTGTTTTCTGAGTGCAGTTGGAAAGAGAGGAAGGATGTTTGCTCTCTAAATATTTTTACTTTTAAATAGAAACTGTTTTCCAGACGGCATGGCTAATCACTTCATAGAAAAGGGAAGAAAAGAATAGCTTTCATTCACTTTCTTTGAAACCTATTCATTACAGTTTGAAAGCAAAATTTCTCTATGAAATACCTAAGTAGTGGCAGCATTTCTACAAGATCTAAGTGTGGGGGCGAGGTAGCAGAGACGGGAGAAGTAAGCAGAGCCCAGGAATAGCTGTGCTCACGTCATCATGGGAAGAAGAGGACTGGTCACCTTCGTCTATTTCACAGAAAGTGCTGGAAGTGGTCCTCGGCGGGGAGGGGCGCGGGAAGCAACATGGCCCCCTCCCCACAAGGAATCCCTAACAGCACACCTGTCTGCCCTGTGGCTGAAACCAATCCTAAAAGGAATCTTTTTAGAGAAATTAAGCTTTACAATGATTGTTTCTCAATCTTGTGTAAATCAGTTATAATTATAACTGATTCTAATATGCATAAAAATCTCTCATCCTCCTCTATTTGAACGAAACCCAGATTAAAGCTCTGTGATGGGAGCATGTGGGGTTAAACGCCTCACTGTGGTTCCTACCAGCAGATGATTGTGACTCTAATACCCACCCACTACTCTCCTTCCTGATCATCCTTGGACTGGCAATCAAAAGTCCTAGATAATATTTCTAGTCAAATGTGTGTATAACTTACATTTGAGTTATAGAATGTCACTGTTCTAATCTGAAAAAGAAAATTAAGCCCCTAGGGGAGGACGTGTTGTGGACTTTACTACCAAATGTTCACAGATTGTGAGGCTCGGTCACCATTGTGATTATCTTCTTCTTATTATTGTCATTGCAGGCATTTAACATGAACTGAGGAGCTCCAATTTTCCTGACTCTATCCAGGATAAATGACACAGGAGTTTTACAGAATCATAGCTACCATTGACTCTAGGCCAATAATTTGGCATTTCATCTCAAAATATTGCTCATATTAGAAATGTGAGACAAGAGGTCAGATGAGAAGACATCCTCCATCTGTGAAGTGATTCGCATTTTCAATATGTCTATTTAGCCTCCATCCGTATCAGTTATAAAGCTGTGGAACAACCAAAGAGTCCTGTGACATAGCACTAGAGGCTTCATTCCAGATTAAAATTGGTAATTAATCAATATTACATATACTTTATTGTTCAATCCTCTTAGCAATTACTTGGAAGACAAAATAAGTAATGCTCGTTAAGTTTTAAGATGGCGTAAATCTGGGAGAAATAGTTAATATTTTGAATTCCATATGACTCAAAGGTTCTTGCCAGGCTGGAGCAATGGGAAAAAAAATTTATATGAAATGTCACAAAAATAAATATAACCCTGCACTTAAGTTCAAAATGCCATTTTAGTTACATTACGTTTTACCAGAAATCATGTGAAAAACCAGAGGGGGTTTTACTGTGTGGTTTAAAATCAGGAGAAGTCAGTGTGATATGGCTGCCCAAAACGCTAACAGAATTTCAGATGACAATAACAGACATCTAATCCAAAACAGGAGAGGTAATGGTTCTGTTGTACAGTGGTCAGACATCACATCGCTAAGAGAGAAAAGGTAACACAACCTCCTTCACCAACTCTGCAAATTCAAAGTAGTTATCATTTGAGCCTTATTTCCATTTCCTTAGAAAATGGAAATAATAGCACCTAACAAAGATATTCTCATAAAATTATTGTAAAATCAAATGAGTTGGTCTTCATAAAACTCTTTTGAAAATTATAAAGTATCATTGCTCTGGACATCTGCTGTTTGTCATTCAATAATCACCTTCCTCTTTTTGGCAACTGCAATTCAGCCCTCCTTTGGGGAATCTCCTCCACCGTTTTTACCATGTGGTGGGCCCAGCTTGGCTGAGGCTGCAGAGATTGGTTTAGGAATGGCTACATTACGCAGTCCGAGCCAAGGAGACATAAGGAGACTATGCTAGGGCTTTTGAGAACACAGAGCCTTGCTCCTTAGCTGTATTTGGTCATATAAAGAGTCGAGTCTTGCGATAGCATCCTACTACCCAGGGAGAAGTCAGCCTGAAGATGAAGTTTAACCAACAGAAGTGGGGGAGGAAAGGCAGAAATGAAAGAGATGAAGAAACTAAGCCCTGATGACCTCCTTTGATATGTGGATCAGACCGTCCCAACCAAAGCCAGTATTCCCGTGCACTGTTCTATGTTCCAAGCCCATGTATTACCTTTTATAAGTCAGTTTGAGCAGGGTTTTTAGGTCACTTGTAACAGAAAGAGTCCTACAATTGTGCATTTATTCTAATGTCTTGGAAAATCCAGTTATTCAAATATATGGAAATAATACATGAGAGAGTTTTCAAATGGAAAAGATAGATTCCACAAAAATCAAATTGGTTTACATTGTGTTAGATTATTATGTTTATGTTAGATTGTTATGTTAGACTGTGTTTACTAATACAAGCAAAATTTCATTATTGACTACGTCTTGGATTCTAAGACTTACATAAGGATTTATATAACAACTGTGTTCTAAAAAGAATTTTTTTAGCATTCTGCCCCTGGGAAATCCATGTTTCCAGCCTACCCTATCTTGTCTTCCTGCTGAGCTAATAGCCAGATCTCCAACTAAAACAGCAGTGCCCATCTCTGATTAATGGGACCTTTCTCCCCACCTTTTTTAATGGCTTTCCCCCATTGTGATTTCAATCAGAACATTGCTGGGAATTCCTCCTGGTGCCTCTCCAGGACCACTTCTATTGCCATTTCTTATAGACTGCTCCTCAAGAAGAGAAAAGCCAAAGAAATGTCCCCATACTCCAAAGCTGGAATCAATGTGGAATGTGGAGAAATAAATTACAGCATTTTCCAGCCAGAAAGGCCTATAGGCATCATCACCTCATCAACAATGGGCTAAATCCAGCCCACCTGATTTTTATTTTCTTTTTATTTTAATTTTTAAAAATATTTTATTTAACCTAATACATCTAAAATATTATTTCATGTGCAATGAATATAAAACATTATTAATGAGATATTTTCTATTTTTCATTCTAAGTCTTCAAAATCCAGTGTGTGTTCTGTACTTACAGCACATCTCAACTGGGCTATACCATTTTTTAAAATTATACTTTAAGTTCTAGGGTACATGTGCACAACGTGCAGGTTTGTTACATAGGTATACATGTGCCATGTTGGTTTTCTGCACCCATCAACTCATCATTCTCATTAGGTAATTCTCCTAATGCTATCCCACCCCAGTACCCCAGCCCCCCACCCCCAACAGACTCTGGTGTGTGATGCTCCCCGCCCTGTGTCCAAGTGTTCTCATTGTTCAATTCCCACCTATGAGTGAGAACATGCGGTGTTTGGTTTTCTATCCTTGTGATAGTTTGCTGAGAATGATGGTTTCCAGCTTCATCCATGTCCCTGCAAAGGACATGAGCTCATCCTTTTTTATGACTGCATAGTTTTCCAAGGTATATATGTGCCACATTTTCTTAATCCAGTCTATCACTGATGGACATTCTGGTTGGTTCCAAGTCTTTGCTATTGTGAATAGTGCTGCAATAAATATACGTGTGCATGTGTCTTTATAGTAGCATGATTTATAATCCTTTGGATATATACCCAGTAATGGGATCGCTGGGTCAAATGGTATTTCTAGTTCTAGATCCTTGAGGAATCATCACAGGGTCTTCCACAATGGTTGAACTAATTTACTCTCCCACCAACAGTGTAAAAGTCTTCCTATTTCTCCACATCCTCTCCAGCATCTCTGATTTTTATTTTCAGTTGTTTTATATATAAAGTTTTCTTTGAACACAGCCATGCCTGTTTGTTACATATATTTGTCTGCTTTCATGCTATAATAGCAAAGTTAAATGACTGTGACAGAAACCATATGGCCTGCAAAGCCTAAAATATTTACTATCTGGCCCTTTATACAGAAAAAGTTTGCTAACCTCTAATCTAGTCCAAACAACTAGTTTTTTAAAAAGAAGCCTAGTCCCAGAAAAACTAGCTAATCATACACAAGATGCCAAATCCAAGTTTGTTTCACACGGTGGTATTTTCATGTTCTATTCCTATGTATCTACTAGATTAGAGGTATCTTATGGGCAGAGATTGTCCTTCATGTTTCTGTGATATCCCAAACAATAGAGGCTAAATACTGAAGTATCCATTGAAACCAGTTATATAATTGCAAAGGTATTGAGGGGATAATGAATTTATTCAAAGACGTCTATGTAAACCATCTCCCCTCCTGCCTCCACAGCCTCCAAATATTTGTAGCCACAAACCAATGATTCTCCATAGGACATCAAGTCACTATCTGTGACATCATCTATAAAATGGCATAAAAGTATCCACCTCACAGAATGGCGAGGCTCAGATGAGATAAAGTGTGGAAGGCATGTAGCACAGAGCCCAGCACACGTCAAACTCTCAAAGACTAGTGGGTTACTATGATAACTATCATAAAAATGGAGGCACCCTGAGACAAAACTGGGTCTTACAGGGAACATGTATTTTGCTTATATTACTGTAGTAGGGACTTCTCTCAGATACCTACATAAGCAGTGGGGGAATATATATAAAGGTGGGTTCCAACACTTCATTTCCACAAACAATTGAATCCATATTCAATTGCTGTCACCCAAGGAAGTTAGAATACAAGTGCCAGAAACAGGGTTCTCCCAGATCCCAACAGCACCTGTAGTACTAGAAGGAGAGAAA